ACAATTTATTGAGAGCTTATTATGTGCCTATATCTTATCTAACCAATGCTTATTGGGCACCTACTGTATATGCTTTATTTTTATTCAGTGGCTTTTATTAGACACCTACTATAACCCCCTATATTTATCCAACCCACTTTTATTAGTTCCCTAGTGTATAGGTACTTATGTTTTCATTTAACCATTTACTGAGTCTTTACTGTATACTCCTATATTTATTCAGTCAGTTTATTAGGTACCTACTATATGTATGTATGTATGTGTGTGTGTGTGTGTGTGTGTGTGTGTGTGAGCGCGCGCACACATGTATATATCTCCGGTCAGCATTAATTGAATGCTTTCTATATACATCTGTGTTTATCCAATTTTTAGTAGGTACCTCTAGGTACCTACTGTATATCTCTGTATTTATTCAATCAACATGTTTGGGTGCCTGTTGTATGGCAGGCCCTGGGGCTACAGCCATGAGCAAGATAGACCCAATCCCTGCCCACCCAAGTTTACAGTCTAGTGGAGGAGAGACTACCAGGAAATTACAACCCAAGCCGAGTAATAAGGTTCTGGTAATTGTCCCTCACATGACCTTCAAAGTCCCAGCCACATGGCCCATTACAACAGCATCGTGAGCACCTGGGGGAGATGCCTGCCCAGGCCTCAGGGGTCAGGGAAGGCTTCGTGGAGGAAGGGCCAGCTGAGTCGTGACCCCAACCGTGAGCAGATGTTGTCCAGATAAAGAGGAGAGGAGAAGGAAGATCTTACAGGCCGGGGACAGCGTGTGCAAAGGCTCAGAGGCGAGGGACTTCAAGTTGAGTCAGGCCGGGGTCGAGCTGGTCTCAGGCTGCACATTGGAGGGCGTGCCCCAGCTGTCCCTGGGTCCTTGGCAGGACGAGGCCGTGGAACGCTGCAGCTACCCGGACCCGCCCCGCGAGCACTTCGGACAGAGGATCCTGGTCAAGTGTCTGTCACTTAAGTGAGTGTGCTTCCCTGCCCCTCCCTTCAGACATGCAAGGGGACCAGATAGGTTATGGCACGTCACCTACCTGGTGCTCACTGCGAGAGCCATGCCATTACCAAGGCCCAGCCCCAAGACGCAGGGGGCCGTGAGCTTTTAGGCGGGAAATAAGGCTTCCTTTTTTATTATTCAAAGCCACCAATCCTCAAGTGCTAACTGTGGGCCAGACTCTGTTCTCAGCTCTTCACGTATGTTAACTCTATTCTTCACTACAACCTTGCGAAGTGGGTACAAGTGGGAAAACCAAGGCACAGCGTGATGAAGTCGTTGTGCCCAAAATCACACAGCTTGTGAGGCCAGGGTCCAGCACTTGCCACTCTATTGCTGGGACCCAGGTAGAGGGGGTGCTGGTGACCCCAGGGGCTTGAGGCCCCCTCCACGTCAGCCCCCCAGGGAACAGACAAAAATGCGTGGGAACAGAGCTGAACAGGATGTGGCCTTGGACTGGAGCCTGGCCCCGCCCCTCCCCATCCTGAGTTCCTGCTGGGATGGGGGCAGGAAAGGGAGGCCTGTCTGGCTTGAGGCCCGGTGGGCTGCCTGCCTCAAGCACAAGGGTTGGGAACTGGCTCTGTGAGCTCATCCAGTCATTCAACACTCACTGAGCACCTACTGTGTACAGGGCTTATAACGGTGGGATGACCACACAGGACTCTAGGTGGGGCATACAGCACACACCAAGTCAGGGAGACATCTGGAGAAGAGAAAAATGAGGCCACAGGGTGGGGCGGGGTTGGGCCATGCAGGAATTTGTTCTCAGGGGAGTGGGGAGCCTCAACACTTAAGTTTTAAGATGCTTCCTTAAAATGCAGATGGTGAGCAGAGGCCAGCAAGGCAGAGTAAGACAGGGAAGCGGTCACAGTGGCCGTGCAGGCCAGCAAAGACGGGACTCAGCCCAGGATGGCACAGGTGGCAGAGGACACCCCAGAGAGGGAGACAGGGGGGCCCAAGGGTCAAGAGTTTCCAGCTGGAGGAGGATTGTTTTGCCAAAAACTGACTCTGTCCCAATGGAACAAGGGCCCTGATTTCAGAGGCGAGGGGCTCTGTGTGTTACTGGCAGAGGAGGGAATAATCAGTGCCTCAGTTTCCTCTTTTGCAAAATGGGACAGCCTTTTCTGCAAGCCCTTAAGTGGTGGTTCCGTGTGGCCCCGTGGGGACTGAATGCCCCCATGCTGCACCACAGCTGGGCTGGGCCTCAACAGGAAGCGGGGCCGTGGGTGGCGGGAGTGTCAGGGGCAGCCTCTGCAGGCCGCCCGTTCTCCCGCAGGTTCGAGATTGAGATTGAGCCCATCTTCGGCATCTTGGCCCTCTACGATGTGCGGGAGAAAAAGAAGGTAGGAGCCCCTTTCTTCCCCTTCCTCCCTCACTCCCTTCCTCATTGTAGGGCTGTGGGCTCTCTGGAGGTGGTAGCCCAGCTGCCTCTTGTGCCCCCAGATCTCGGAGAACTTCTACTTTGACCTGAACTCAGACTCTACGAAGGGATTGCTGCGGGCCCACGGCACTCATCCGGCTATCTCCACCCTGGCCCGCTCCGCCATCTTCTCCGTGACCTATCCTTCGCCTGACATCTTCCTAGTCATCAAGGTGCCCACTGGGGCTGGGCAAGGGGGTGGTAATGGTGAATACCACGGGTGCAGTCCCTGCTCTCATGGAAGAACACGGACATGTCCCAAGAAGGATGATCAGGCCTCTCGTGGGGAAAGCGCGGGCAGTGGGACAAGCCTGGAGTGGGGCTCCTGACCCAGGTGGAGAGCAATCACTGAGGGCTTCTATGGAGAGGTGACAGCTGAGCCAAGACCCATGAGTGAGCAGCCTGTGGAGAAATGGCAACCTGGCATAGGGGGACAGACATTTAAAATATTTTTTTAAGTGGAGAGTTCTTCAATATGGTGGCGGAGGAAAGACCTAGCTGGGATGTGTATTTGGGATTTTCTGTTTCCAGGAGTGAGCTCAAATTTCCTTTCCCAACACATTCAGGTAGGTTACACTAGTGATATCAATGGAGCACCTATAGGCAGGCACTGCTCACGGCCAGTGAGGCTTCACCGGGCTCCTGCCTTCAGTCCTCACAGGAGTCCTGGGAGGTAGGGGTTGCCATGGCTCCATTTTACAGAGGGGGAACAGGTAAGGGACCTGGTTCAGGATCCCGCAACCTGAGAATGGTCAGCATTGCAGTCCAGCTCCTGTGACCCAGAGCCGCACTTGGAGTGGCCTCTGTTTATACTAACAATTGTAGGGAATACGGAGCCTAGGCTTCGGGGCGGGTTCAGAAGGTGGGGAGAGGAGAGCTGGCCAGGCAAGTCCACTGCTGACACTCAATCCCTAGGACAGTGGGAGCCATGGGAGGTGTTGGAGCAAGAGCTCCAGCAGATGAGGTGTCTGGGGACTCCTGACAGGTTCAGGAGGTTAGGGCCCACCAGCCCCTCACTGGGCCTGCCTGCCTGTCCCTCAGCTGGAGAAGGTGTTACAGCAGGGGGACATCAGTGAGTGCTGTGAGCCTTACATGGTGATGAAGGAGGCGGACACAGCCAAGGTAAGCAGGGGGGGGCTGGACCTGATGGTGAATGGGTGCCCTGCAGGGCAGATCCTGTATTCAGCAGGCCTGGGGCACTGAGCTTGTGGGTGTCGGAGGGTCTTCCCACAGAACAAAGAGAAACTGGAGAAGCTTCGCCTAGCGGCTGAGCAGTTCTGCACCCGCCTGGGCCGCTACCGCATGCCATTCGCCTGGACAGCCGTGCACTTAGCCAACATCGTGAGCAGCGCTGGGCAGCCTGATCGTGATTCGGACTCAGAGGGTGGTGAGGAGGCGGGGCTGATGGTCGGGGGCAGGGCTACGGGGAAAGGAACGGCGCCCTCTGCTGGCTGCACTCTGTATTAGACTGCGTCTCTCAGTTGCTCTGTGTCTCTCTGCCTCTATGTTCCCTCCATCCATCACTGTCACTGCCTACCCTAGAACGCCGACCTGCCTGGACTGACCGCCGCCGTCGGGGGCCCGCAGACCGAATGAGTAGCGGGGACGACGCCTGCAGCTTCTCCAGCTTCCGCCCAGCCACACTAACTGTCACCAACTTCTTTAAGCAGGTATCATAGCCACAGGGCAGGGGACACGGGGAGGAGCGCTAAGGGATACCCCTTGGCCGCACAGGCCCTGGGGACTCAGCTCACAGAGATGGGTCTGGTGCAGGAAGCCGAGCGGCTCAGTGATGAGGATCTCTTCAAGTTCCTGGCTGACATGCGGCGCCCTTCATCCTTGCTACGGCGTCTCCGGCCTGTGACTGGTACGTGGCGCACCCCATAAAAAAGAGGTGTCCCTCGTACAGTCACTCAACAAACGCACACTGACCACCTGCTGTGTGTGGCCCTGGGGACTCAACAGTGACCATGATAGACAAATCCCCAATTTCAGGGGCTGGACCTTCCAGTGGGGGCCACAGATCAGAAACAGAATAAACAAGACATGTTGGGTCAATTAAGGGATGTAGTTGCTGGGGGGACAGATCTGATCAAATATGGGGGCAAGAGATGGGAGTTGAGGGCGACTTCTGGCTTTAGGACCTGAAGGACAGCCACCAGAGGGAACCGTGAGAGAGTCTGACGCCAAAGGCCAAGAGGGCAGGGCCCAGCCAAGAGGCTCCCAGGCAGGTGCAAACTGGCTCCCCTTCCCCAGCCCAGCTCAAGATCGACATCTCCCCGGCCCCCGAGAACCCCCATTTCTGCCTGTCCCCGGAGCTGCTTCACGTCAAGCCCTATCCAGACCCCAGGGGCCGGCCCACCAAGGAGATCCTGGAGTTCCCCACCCGTGAGGTCTACGCTCCCCACACAAGCTACCGGTACAGCCTGTGGGACCCCGCTGGGCACTTGAATGGGGGGCATTCGGGCATCATGCAAACTGAAGCCCCCTTTCTCCCAAACACAAATAAGACACCCAGGGTGAGATGCCACTACTTGCTTTAATGGGTGTATAGGCATGAAGGGACACAAGTCTTTCCTTCCCCCCTCCTCAGTGGGGCTGTGTCTTCTGCCTTCATCTCCACCTGCTTCTGTGTCTGCTCCGTGGCCGGAAGCGGGGCCGGCGGCCTGGCCAACCCCAGCAGATGGTCAGCTCTCCTCCCTGTGCAGGGGCTGCGCGGGGCGTGGAAACGTCCCTTGGTGCATGGCTCGTCCTCACTTCTGCCAGGCAGGCTCAGGCTGGGAGCGCTGCTGTGTGGAGCCTGAGAAGGAGATGAGGTTCAGCCAAGGCCGGGGGCCTCCATTCAGCGGCCCTGCGTACCCCCAATCCAGTTGCCCTGCACACCTAACCCTCGCCAGGCTCACCTCTCTTGGATTTGTCGCAGCCGGTGCTGCTGCGCCGCCATCTCCTGCCTCTGTCGCTGCACGTGGCCCTTGAGGGCCCATAGAATGTAGCTTTGCTGGTCAGCATGGGCCTGTGGGGTCAGAACAGGAACCTTAGCTGGGGGCTGCCTCACCTCCCATCCCCAAATCCTACCCAGCCTCCCCTCCCCATGGTGTTTGTATGACCCAGCAAGTCACTGCCGCTCTCAGGCCTCAACTTGCCCATCTGTAAAGTGGGCAAGAAATGGGACTCACTTGGTGGAATAATGAGCATGATAGGGATTATTAAAGGGCACAGTGCTGGGTACTTTCTGGACACTCAAGAAATGTTACCAGTTACTCTAAAAGTATGCATTTGTTGAGTGCTTAGCATCTTCCTGGCCCCATGCTGAGTGTTTTATCTGCACTGAGTCCCTGGCTCCACTCTGAGGCATCAGATGTTGCCTTTATTTGCAAATGGGGAAATTGAGAAACGGAAAGCGGTATGGGCTTTGCCCAGGGTCACACAGGGTAGAAGCCGTGGTGCTGGGAGGCTGATCTGGGTGGGGGGATCTCTGGGACTTGCTCTAGAAGCAAGTTCTGGCTGGGAATCGGGGTCTCAACTCTCCCAGGGCTGGAAGCTCCTTACCTTTAAGGCCTCAAATTCTTGGTGGGCATGGCCCAGCCATGCACCTCTCAGCTGGACTTCTAGCTGCTGCATGCGCTCCCGCAGCACCTGCTGTCCCTGGGCCATCTCCTGCAGCACCTGGGCTGTAGCTTCCGCCTGCAGCTTCAGAGCATCCTCTTCCCTCTGATCAATAGTGAGACATTAGTAGGATGACCAGCCTGTCTTTGTTTGCCTGGGATATGCCTGACATTAACACTGAAAGTACCATATTGCAGGAACCCTCTCTTCCTGGGCAAACCCAGTTTCTCACCCCCTGGACATAACTCCATTGCAGATTTCTACCCACCCCACAACATCCCAGCCGCAGTGCCCACCTGCATCTTCAGCAAGCTTGCTTGTAGCTCCTGGGTTGCGTCCCGGCCCTGGCTGACCTCCTGTCCCAGGAGCCCCAGTGCACGGCCGTAGAGGCCTATGCTGTGCCTGGCCTCCACCAGCCGTGCCTCTGTGGCCTTGTACACATTGTTGAGGGCCTGGCCCAGCTGCAGGGCCCCGTGGAAGAGCAGGGTGAGCTCCTCATGCTGGGCTGGCTCCAGGCTGCCCACGGGGGCCGCAGAGACAGGCCCGACCGCCGTTGCCAGGGCACACAGCAGACACAGCGTGAGTGCGGGCATGGCTGAGGGGCTGGAGGTGCATCCACGGCACCACTGCTGCCTCCTTTTATGCTCTGACACCCCTTTAACCCCCAGTCAATCGTTAACCAGCCAGTCGGGTGCCTGGGTTGTGCAAGGGCCTGGCGGTGGCACAATGGTTGCATCAGGCGAATGTCCAGCTGGGCCATTCTAGAACCCTGCTGCTGGGGCTCAGGGCCAGGTGAGGGCTGGGGCCACTGGGAGAGGACAGACCCAGGCTCTGCTGGGGGCTCTGAGGCTTTGAGCTTTGGTTTTCCCACTTGTGGGATAGGCACCACAGGAGCAGTACTAGTAGTCTTTTGTGAGTTCTGCCCATTTGCTCAGAGCTGTCCTCTTGCCATTACAGTAGCTGATCTCATGCCCTTCCCGCAGGCCTGTGATGCCGGAGGTCTTTGGTGGCCTGGTTGAGAAATGGGGGGAGTGGGTGCAGGTGGCGGAGACTCTCAAGGTCACACAGCCTGTCTGCCAGACCCACACATGTCCCAGATCAATGCCAACTGCCACTTTCTTCCCTGGGCAACTGTGGACAAGTGCCTCACTTTTCTTGCCTATAAAATGGGGGTAACATTAGTCCTTCATCACAAACTGCTTGTGAGAAGTAAATTAGGTGTTTCATGTTGAGTGGTTAGAACAGAGCCGGGCACGCGGGTGCCCCCTTGGTGATTGGTGCAGTCCTTGTCATTACTGTTGTTTATCACCTTTGGTTTTGTTACGGAGGCTCCGCTGGCGGCTCAGTGACCCCATTATACACATAGGGAAACTGAAGCCTGGCGGGGGGCAGGACTTGTACAGAGTTACGCCTAGGGAGGGAGGAAGACCTCTGAGCCCAGCCAAGCCCCCGTGCTGCCTCTGGCCTCAGTTTCCTCGCCTGACAGATGGGTCGTGTAACTGGTGGCTTCTCCTGGGGGAAAGGGTGCACAGGCCCCTGAGTGGATGAGGGGCAGGTCAGCCCAGGCAGGGCTTATGCCTGCCCACGGCCACCTGGGGCACCATGGAGCCTCAGCCCTGAGGTTGTCCCTCTGCCCTCCACCTCACCACGCCTGCTTTGTGCCCCCAGACCTGTTTCCACCCTCTGCCACGGTTTCCCCGTCTGTGCGCTGAGGGTGCCCATCTGTCTCCAGCTCTGCCAGTCACATTGCCGGGCGGTGCCCCTAATTGCCCCTCACCCAGCCCTCAGTGCCTCAGCCATGTGGTCATTGTCCTGTGTCCCAGGCCAGGCTTATTCCAATAGCCCAGCCCCTTCTGTCCCTCTGAGGCCCCTCTTCCCGCAGGAACCTGCTGTACGTGTACCCGCATAGCCTCAACTTCAGCAGCCGCCAGGGCTCCGTGCGCAACCTCACAGTGCGAGTGCAGTACATGGCGGGCGAGGACCCCAGCCAGGCCCTGCCGGTCAGTGACTGGGCCCGGCGAGGTGGGCAAGGTGTCTCTGGTGGGCTCCTCATGGCTCTGCTCCCCCAGGTCATCTTTGGCAAGTCCAGCTGCAGCGAATTCACCCGAGAGGCCTTCACACCGGTGGTCTACCACAACAAGTAGGTGGGGTGCGGGGACAGGGGCGCTGATGGGGGGCAGGAGCAGGAAGGGGGGGAGGGGCAGGTTCTGAAAATGCTGGTGGGGGGACCCATGACAGAGCAGAGACACTGGGCCCTGTAGCACTGGGGGAACATGTGACCAAGGGGGTGGGGCAGGCAAGGGGGATCGTACCCCCTCGCCTCCTGTTGAACCCCAGTCTGTTCTCTCTAGGTCCCCTGAGTTTTACGAGGAGTTCAAGCTGCATCTTCCCGCCTGTGTGACCGAGAACCACCACCTGCTCTTCACCTTCTACCACGTCAGCTGCCAGCCGCGGCCCGGCACAGCCCTGGAGACTCCTGTGGGCTTTACTGTGAGGCCCCCCGTCAGCCCACATCCCCCGACTCCAGCCCTCCTGGCCCCTTCCCAGCCCACGCCTGACCCCCGGCCTCTTCCTAGTGGATCCCGCTGCTGCAGCACGGCCGCCTGAGGACTGGCCCCTTCTGCCTCCCGGTATCTGTGGACCAGCCCCCACCCAGCTACTCCGTGCTCACACCCGACGTATGTGCCCTGGGCCACCCCCCACCCTGGTCCCCCAGAGTCCCCCAGGCTCCTGCCTCTTGGTCCCTGGAAATACATTCATTACCCACCTCCCACCAACACCTGGTACCCCACCAATCCCCTTAGCAGTCCCCACCCCTCGCGTGGTCCCCCCGTTCGCGCCCTGCTGTCCTTCCCGTCAGCATCCCAGGGGCCTTATTGTCCTCTGGGAGGGCCCCTAGGGCCCCTGGCTGCCCTGTCAGCCCTGCCGCCGCCTGTGTCCTACCGCCCCTTGTGCCCTCCCTGTCCCCCCGACCCCTGCCTCACTGGTGCCCCTGCCCCCGCACTGTCTGTCCCCCACGGGCAGCCCTGCCTGCCTCGCTGGTGCTGTCCCCTGGGAGTGCTTCAGGGCCAGTCACCCCCTCCGCCCCCCCCCGCGAATGCCTTGCCACCCTCCCACTTGCCCCCAGCCGTGTCTGAATGCCCCTAGGGCTCAGGACTTCCATTAGGCTATTTCCTGATTCATTCCCTTCCGGTAATGTTCACCCTGGGTCTCCATTCTCAGCCTGCTCAGTGGAACCCCACCGCACTCCCTCCCAGCTGCCCCTACCCCCACACCCCCGTCTCTGGGCTGGGCTGGGCCAGGTTGCCGGGCTGCTCCCCCAGGCAGCTCTGTGCTCAGGCTGTGGTGTCGCAACAGCTGAAATGCCTGGGGCGGGTGGCCTGATCAGTGCCGGGTGGCCAGCCAGCACCCACCGGTGTGTCCCTCCCACAGGTGGCGCTGCCGGGCATGCGCTGGGTGGACGGCCACAAGGGCGTGTTCAACGTGGAGCTCATGGCTGTGTCCTCCGTGCATCCCCAGGTAGGGGGTGGGACGGGAACCCAGGAGTTGGGCAACAGTTCCCACCAACCAGGGAGAGGCCTGGCCTTGGGCCATGGACATGACTTCGGTCAGCTGGACCTGTCTCCCAGGAAGCTGCTGACTCAGGCAGGGCAGCAGTGCCAGCGGCCACCCCAGCTGGGGCCTTGGCCCTGTACATGGTCTCTCCTCCCCCACATTTGTCCCTGCTATTTCTGTGGTTACTCCCCCTCTCTCCTCCCCTCTTACATCTGGTGTCTTACTTATTATCAATTCATTGATCCCTGGCCTCAGTGTCTCTGCCCATTCAGCCCCCAGCTCAATTCCCTGGACCAGGGGCCCTGGCCCCTCCCTACTCACCCCTGGTCCCCCACCAGGACCCATACCTGGATAAGTTCTTCACCCTGGTGCACGTCCTGGAGGAGGGCGCCTTCCCATTCCGGCTCAAGGACGGTGTGCTGAGCGAGGGCACTGTGGAGCAGGAGCTGCGGGCCAGCCTGGCAGCCCTGCGCCTCACAAGCCCTGAGTTCCTCGTCGCCTTCTCTCATCACGTGCTGGATAAGCTCGTACGGCTGGTCGTGCGGCCCCCGATCATCGGTGGCCAGATCGGTGAGCAGGCACGGCCTCAGACCGCAGTTTCCCCGTCTTGAAAACGGCCTCTTAGTCCCCTGGTACTGGGTGACCTCCTCTAGCCCATTTATCTCTCTGGCCTCAGTTTTCCCATCTGGAAAATGACCCCAACTCACTGGGCTATGAACCTTTGATGGCCACATGATCCCTTGGACCCTAAAGTCTCTCTCAGGAAGAAACTTGACCTCTGCTCTGCCTGGCAGTGAACCTGGGTCGTGGAGCTTTTGAAGCAATGGCCCATGTAGTCAGCCTCATCCATCGGAGTCTAGAGGCTGCCCAGGATGCCCGTGGTCATTGCCTGCTGCTGGCTGCCTATGTCTACTATGCCTTCCGACTGCCTGGCGCCGAGTCCAGCCCCCTGGGTGGTGAGTACTGGTAGGAGAATCTGGAGGACAGGAAATATCTGGGAGGAGAGCATCCTAGACAAAGGGAACAGCACATGCAAAGGTCCTGAGGCCACATAGGCCTTGATTGGCTTGGGCGACTTGCAAGAGGTGTAACTTTTTGCTCTAGCCTGAGGAGTATGGTCTCTGTATACTTGCTGGCAGGTGATTCAGCTGATCAGCAAGCCGGGGCTCAAGCAGGGTTACCTGGGTTTGAATCCCAGCTCTGCCTCCTGTAAGCTCTGTGACCCTGGACAAGTGACTTCACCTCTCTGAGCCTGTTTCCTGTTTGTAAAATGGCAGTAATGTGCCCTCTTTTCCTGGGGGTGCTGGAATAGCAAATGACATAGTAATCCGTGCAAAATGCTGGGCACAGTGAATGCTCTATAAGATTGGACTTTTTCCTCATTTGTCAAGTAAGTAGTAATAACCACTATCCCCTCTGGGCACTTACTATGTGACAGGCACTGTCCTCAGTGTTTCTTAGTCTCCCCCAAATCGTTATGAGGCAGCAGCCATTATCATACTCATTTTACAGGTGAGAAACCTAGAGGCTCAGAGAAAGGAAACGACTTCACCAAAGGCAGCCCGCTGGGAAGGGGCGGGTCATCAGGGCAGGTGGGCAGGTGGCTGACCATATTCCCTCCGTGCTCAGGGGCCCCTCCGGTGACAGTGCAGCCCGCCACGCTGGCCCGTGGCACTGGCCGCCCTGCAAGCCTCTACCTGGCTCGCTCTAAGAGCATTAGCAGCAGCAACCCTGACCTGGCCGTGGCCCCCGGCTCTGTGGATGATGAGGTCTCCCGCATCCTGGCCAGCAAGGTAGGGTGAGGGGCGCCCTGGAACCTCTCGCCTCAGTGGCCAGGTGGGTGGGTGAAAGATCTCTGTGTTGATGGATGTCAGGAAACATCAGATAACGGCATGGACACAGGCTTGACTCTGGGCCGCAGAATCGGGCCGTGGCTGTCACAGGTTGGGAGCTGTGATGTGAGTTCACACTGGCCTCCATGCTCTGGGGCCGACCCCAGGACAGGTTGCTAGAGCTTGGCCTGGTTGTTAAGAGCAGTGCGTATGTCGGGCAGCAGGCCCATACACAC